TATGTGCCAAGACACCGCTATTGAAAGCTGTATAATTATGTGCTATAGCCACTGTAGAAAATGCTTTGTTCACCACAACAAAGAACAATAAGCAAAGTAAAGTGACATTACACTGTATCTTTTTCTTTAAGAATGTTGAGAAAGGTCATGGTACGTTATAACTAATAAAGCTGTTGAGTAAGGAAGTTTAAAGTTGATCTTGCTGTGCTTAAATGTAACCCAATGACAAAAAGGCAGAGGGAACTAAAATTGTAATGACATTAAAAAATAGATCATATATCAACGTGCCAACTTCATTATACAAACACCTTGAATCCAAAGGACACAAACAGAAAAAACGAGGGTAGTCCTGCAACGGTATTCCTCTCACGATCACCTCCCTAACAGCATCCAACTACAATCTGCAAAAACTGATTAATAAGCATTAATTGATACGTGCAATGCACGGACCTTCTACTGCAAGCCATGGATTTTCTTACTTGATTAAAAACCGGGTTCACTTCCTGTGCAGTTTCCAGGCAAGGTCTGCTGTTTCACAAGAGAGCTTCTTCAAAATTTGAAAAAAAAAAAAAAAAACAAAAGGAAAAAGGCCTGAGGTCATGAATTAAATTTCCTGAAACCAAGATTTTATAATTCCATCTAGACACCTATGTTTCAGTTTTTCTTCAGAGGAATCAGGACAGTTACGTTTGCTATTCTCAAACGGCCAGAGCGGCTTTACTCTCCTTCCTGCAGATCACCAGACAGCGGCCCTCCGACTTCGTCTTTAAGAATGCTGAGCGCGATGGTGAAACGCTACAACAATAAAGCCCTTGAAGGAGGAAGTATACAGCTGAGGGAAAAAATGCGAGGAGTTTAATACTGAAAGAAACAACTGTCCCGTTAGGCTGTGCCCACTGCTGGTACCACCAGAAGCGCAGAGGCTGCCACGGCAGAGCAGTGTGTATGGGAAGAGCAGTCTCCGAGATGGAAGGCAGCAAGCTATGGACTCGATTTTCACTTCTCTCGAGGCCACTTTGCGCTGCTGCGGTTGCGTAAAGGAGTATTAGGGTGGTTATAAATTGTCCTTTACAGTGCCTGTGTATCGCAAAAACCACTCATAAGTGGCCTTAGTTTAAGTAACAATCAGGTTCAAAGGCTTTAATTCTCCTTTTGATGAACACCAATTCAGTTCAAGATGAATCCTGCAGATGAAACTGGGGAAGGATACAGCTTCCTAAAATAAGCACGAGTGGCCAGAATTTTCGACAATTTAGGATGTCTTAATTTTTGGATGCAGTGCTGGGCACACTTCATTTTCAGGGAATGGACTGTTGAGGACCTCCTGACAAAGTGGCTCTCATTAATAGATCTCCAGTTGAGCATCCCAAAATGGAATTGGCCTAAAACCATCATTGCTTCTGAAAATTTTGGCAGCCAGCGTTCCTCTCAAGGGTTCATAGGCCGCTTACGTGACTGGGTTATTACTTAGATTTTATAGGTGGTGTTATTTGAATTACTTTATATAATCTCATTGATTTTTATGGGACTAACTCAGAGTGCCTTAAGTTAAACATTCTGCTAAGACTTGAGTACAACTGGTCTTAATTAGGTTTTTCCCACTAGAATGGTTTTCCCCTGCCAAAAGCAGAGCGAACTTCTTAAAAATGGTTTTCTCCCCCTTCGAAACGATGACACGTGCCGTAACTAGCGCTATGAAAAGAGGCAATCATCGCATCAAGCCCCACTGTACCAAAACTGCATACAGTGTATTTGTGCAAATAACGCAGCTTGGCAGACGTTTCACTATTGTGATCAATCTCAGTAACTATGTCGGCAAAATCGGGCGAGTTCCCGTGAAGCAGCAGGCAGGCTGAGCTCAGAAAGATGGCGTGCGCGGGGGCTGGCTTTGGTGCTCATTTGCTCGCTTACGCAGAGGAGCGTGGCGAGTGTAAGGAGTAGGCAGGAGGGCACAGGGCAAAATCGCTAGCACGGAGAAACCCTGAGACTTCAGAACTAAGACTGAGTCGTTAAATACCCACAAGGAAAAGGAACGGGCATCGTGCAGAGAGATGTTTCTACACGGAGAACGACAGTAACTTGCAAAAAATGCCAGGGAACAAGGACGATGGAGGAGGAGCGGAAGCCAAAGCAAGGCTAAAATCCAGGTATTGTCCTCAGGCCAATTTCTTGTTGTAAGTAAATAAATCGGGGAAAAAAAAAAATCTTATTTATGGTTTTTAACCATATTTTTATTTTAACTCACAGCGTGGTGTCCCCTTGCTTGAAATCATCCTGGCACAGTGACAACTGTTTGCTCTGATGATGTGTCTTAGGATGGATTTTGAAAAACAGTTATGAAATGATTTGGGATTTTTTTTTTTTCCTTTTAATGAGTAGCAACAATACCTGACTTTAATTATTACAGCTGGCATTCAAAAGGCTATGGCAACACCACAGATGAGACAGATATCTAGTGGCACAGCAAGCTGTCCTCTCTTTCGGACCATCTTCAGCATTTCTGCTGGGACACTGACATTTGTGGCTTTCATTCACCAGGACATCCCACCTTCTCCCTCCCTGGAAGAAAGGCCCTGGAGGAGAGAAACATCTTCACCTTCCACAAAAAAAAAAAAAGCATATGTCTCCCTCCCTTTCAAAACTCATTTTCAAATTGCTCTGCGCAGCTCAGCACGGGTTTCTCCAGCTAGCCCTACTGCAAGAGAGAGAAACGTGGAACCGGCTACACGCGCATACACACATGTGTGCACACAAAACACAGGCGAAGTTGCATCGTGCTGGAGGAGGCGTTGCGTCTGTCTCTGGCTCACAGCCACAAGGGTACAATGGCAAAGCTAAAAACGATAGGCCATGTGGTTTGTTAAACATCTTATTTGACTTTGCTACAAGCTGTCAGTTCCAGCGCGCGGGGAAAGGAACACGCTATCACAGATTCCTGAGCAAATCAATGGCACAGCCTGATATGGACCAAATGCACATTTTAGCTTTATCATTTTTTCCTAATAGTCAATTTAAGAGTATTAAAGTGTATACACAAATTTCACCCAGGAAGACATAAAGGGTGAGGGTTTAGGAATAGTAGTGTAGGTGATTTAAGAGAAACAGCATATTGGACTAATCAGAAGATCAGCAAAGCATCATTGAAGTATGAGAGGAAGGAACGCTAAATATGGCAAATGCTCCGTTTGCTAAATCCCTTTGGATCCAATTTCAACATTACGGTACTTGTCATTTTTGCTTTGCAGCTTGTGGGGGAGGGGGCTGGGCATTTATCGGCGAAAGTCACACTGGCTACATTAGAAACTGCACCGTACACCTAATGGTCTCACAACTGCTGGATCTTCAGTGTAAAACCAAGATTTAAACCTCTAGGAAATTCTCATTATAGTAGATAACACAAGAACGACTGTGCAAAAGAATCTGCAAATCATCGCCATTTATAACATGCCTTTCCCTCCATGATGGGGCAAAAAAACCAAGGGCGTCCTTTCCTACCAGCTACTAGACCCCTTGGCCAAGAAGAGAGGACTGTGATCACTAGAGGTGCTAAACGTACGAGACTTATATTTTCTTATCTACCTGAAAACACCTGTATGCTCCCCACAGTTCTTTGCTGAAGTAATCCATTTACATTAACACTGCAACTAACGCTTTGAAAAGGAGTAATAAGTGCCCAAAACCATCCAGCATACAAGAACATCTGAGAGCAAAGAACATTTCAACCTACGTTCTGCAAACAGAGAAAAGTTGCGGTAAAAAGAAAAAAAGCCTGGGGGAATCTAAGCACATTTTGACAGAAAAAAGTTAGTCACACTTATCTCCTCATGTATTTCCTTTTCCTGTATTTAGCTATTATGCCTCAGAATACGGGCAGACCTACCTCCCAGGGGTGGGAGTCTCCTGTCTCGTGTGTGCATGAGTACCTACCGGGGCCAGAGCCCTCAGAAGGGCCTGGGGAGGCCACGGCACACCAAACATGGAGTCTGGACATTGCCATCAGTGGCAACGAATGGCAAACCCCTCAAGGACCGTCCTCTTCCCCCCTCTTTCTTCACCTGCCCCTTCCATGCAACCATTCTCCCAGAAGACACCGTGTGCCCAGAAGAGGTGGGGAGGAGATGACAAAGTCTTTGCCTAGAGGTTTTTTTGCATCACCTGAACTTACATGCTGTGAAAAAGAGCACTGCTAAAAATCCCTCGGAAGGATTTTAGGTAGGGAACCACCCTCCTTCTGCCAACAAATGTCACTTTTGCTACAGG